TGTATTTAGCATAAAAATTTTAAACTAATTAACCTTAAGTTGTCCAATGGGTTTTATTTCTGTCTTTGAATGTGTAGGTTAACATATACTGATGTTAAAACATAATTATATTTACTTTTGCCTAGAAAAGTCACACCGCTAGGGGAAAATATTCTGAAAGATAAGAAATGCCCTTTTATAATATTTTCATATGCTCACCAAATCATTTTAATAGTTTGGCAAAATCAACAGACCTTTATTTCCCACTGGCACTGGCTATACTGAATGTTTACCAAATTCATTTCATTTTTAATGAGATTCTTTTGGCCTTGCTGTTTAAGTGCCAGAGGGTAAAGCTATGCAGTAGGTTGAATAGTGTCTGACTCTGTCCAAAGAGCCAGTTAGGAGAGTTTAGTCAGGGAAAATTTTTGTCCTAGATTAGGTGTTAATGTCCATCTAAAATCATAGAGTAATTGCGCATTTTAAAATTTACTTTGCTATGAGGCACTTGGTTTACAATGTTATTGGGAGTCTGTCTTTATATGTCTAACAATGAAATCACAAAAATCGAGATATCATCTGGCCTAAATCTACATTTAGGTTGAATGTGAAATAATCTAAGACAGATGGTGATCTGTGTTATTTTGGTAGAGTTTACTTCTTTGGCTTTAATTTTCACTGGCAGGTGGATTCAAAATTCAATCACAATTAATTTATTAATGTTAGATGTATTTTAAATAGAATGAATGCCACTATTATCTCCTAGCATAATTTATGTTTTATATTCATTATCATGGTTTATACATTTGGGCAAATCTCAATTTTCTGAATCTTTTATAAAAAGATGGAGATTTGTTGGGGAAGCTTAAGGGTCAAAGTTGTGGATATAATAATAAACCAGATATAGGTGTAATTATGATTGTATTTGTTTATGGAAATTGAAACAATTTTGGACCAACACTCCAAAATCATGAGATTTTAGGTCAAAAATCTGAATTTCCACGTTCATCTGGAAAATTGGAAAAGCTACGATTAGATGGCAACATTCTCACACAGTAAGAATCATCTAGAGCCGATCATTGGCTGCTTCCTAGTTGGTCAGTTTCTATGACTTCCTCTTGCCTCCTCTCTGATACTGAAACTAAAAATTTCTTTTGTCATTGTGCTTGAAATTTTTTTCAAGTAGATAATATTTTTCTGTGTGTGTCTAATAACAGTAAGCTTATAAAAGTTAAACCAAGAAGGATAAGTGTTCATGGAAAATTAAAAGACCATATTATTTAGTAGAACTTAATAATATTCTTATGTTTAATATGCAAACATAGTGTATCTATGTAAAAAGGCTGCAATTTAAAGCACCAATTCAAAATGAACCATAGTAATGAAGATGAACTAAATCGAAAAAGGATCTATCATGAAAAACTTAATGAACTCAAAGGAAAAGACTAACATTTCAGGAGGGTTTATTTTTAAATGCAAATAAGCACAAGCACAGCTGCTCTGAAAAGCAATTATATCAGAAATGAATAATGAATTGTCATACATCAATACTTTTTTAAATGGTAATTTTTAGAGCTATTCTTATTAAATGAAGAAAAATTGCATATAGAAAAGTAACACATGGTAAATACAAGGGTAACTGAAATAACTGTTGCCCAGAAATTTGGAAACATGGATGAATATACCAAGTTCATATTAAGTAAAAAAAAAGTAACTGATTTTTACTGGTTTTTTTCTCTGCTGATGTCTTACATATTTATGATATATCATCAATGGAATTATGGTGTCTCAAGATACTTGTGAACATGAGGTGTATGACTAAGACAAATTCATAAAATGATTTTATTGTGTGCATGCATGTGTTATATAATTGCCAGAATGTTTGACATAAAATTGTCAAGATTAATAACTAAAGGCAATGTTTTGAAGATGTTCAGTTAATTTTGGACTTAATATAATTCTTAAATCCTATTTGGAAATGTTTAGCAATGACAGAATAGCTACTCTCCTTCAGCTCATCATTCGCCATGAATTACTTTACTTAAGAAGTTAAGTTGGAAACCATGCTGGTGTCAATGATTAAGTCAGCCATTTGTGCACATTCCCACAGCATCAACGATCATCTTCTGAACTCTCTGGAAGAAGGATGATTTGTCACTTGATATTGAACAGATTCTTTGAAATGTAAAATGCAATAAGTTTATTTCATCTAAGATAAAAAATTAATCTTAGCTCACAAGCAAAGACGGAATCGATAGTCTTTTCATCATCTAAATGCCTTATAGAATGCTATGTAGAATAAAAGTAGTAACTGGAAAGTATGACTTGGTTACTTGATTTCTTATGAAATTATGCCTTTGGGAAGCTCCTTTGTCAAGGATTTACCTGGCAAATACTTCTTGGCAGAAATCACCCTGTGGAACTTAACAGGATTGCATGAATGACATGTCTAATATTGTGGAGTTAAGAAATAAAATGTTAAGAAAAGTCTCAGGATTAAAACTTTCTGGCAATGACCTCACACTGTTAAATCACATAATATGACTAGGTAAGTCAAGAACCAGAATCAAAAGATACTTTACGCTGGCACAGTCCAATTCCAAAACTTAAATGTAACTTTTAATTAACTTAAATGTAAATGTAGCTTTGTGACTATTTTTTCCAGTTATAAACTGAATAAAAGTAAGCAATGCTGCTAGTTAAGAGATTGAAAATAGAATTCTGCATCCTGTGAAAGCACACTATAATGCAATGTATAAGACCTGGCATCTTGGTGTACAACATGTCAGGTTTATTTTTCCAAATCAAAGATATTAACAATGTTGGAAGATATTTCTATTTTCATATTTTGAGTTTTCAATTTTAACTTTTAAATAATAGCTTCAATAACACACTTATTCTTGTTGTAATATATTTATATTTCAGTACTAATAGTTTATATATCTTTCTGATAGTTGACAATTTTTACAACAAATCAATTTCATTCATTTATGTTACATGCTTTATCCGTTAACCCAGTATTTGTCTTTAGCTCTAAAGATGTCTGAGTCAATATCACTTAGGCTAATGACAAGAGAAAAATTTGAAGAAAATCTAACTCATCCTAGACATAAGATGTCTATCCTGTATTTTGAAATCACCAGAAATGGGCTTTTATGGTGCTGTCAGAAACTTATTAATTTTGATGTTCAAATGTGTTTATATATGTGCATTTTGAATATCTACATATATAGGTATATCATATATATCTTAGCTTGTTGAACATCTATATCTTTAATAATTTATGCCCCATTGAAATGATATAGATATGATACTGTATGCTATGCTAAAACCATAGTCTAAGAGAAATGTATGTAAAAGACAAGGGCCTTTCCAAGAAAATATCCTAGTCAAGTAAGACATCAACTTTCCACTAAAATTGCCATTTACTAGGTCAGGATATGTATACTTATTTGGAAGAAGACACAGCCATGTGGATAGAAAGGTTATGAAGTTCTATTTCTTATAATTATTTTAAAGAGTCTGAGATTATAATATTTCTCATATGTAGAAATGATTTAATATTCACTTAAACCTTTCTCAATGGAACACATTTGAATATGACATTCATTTAATTAAACTATATATTTAGAGTTTCCTTGAATGACTTTCTCTACAACCCGACTTCAACAGATAATTGCCAATTCTGTGCATCCTTTTATAAAACTGACTCCTAAATACAATTAATTAGTAAGTTTTGAAAAACTCCTACATCTCAAGGATGTCTTATAAAAAGGCAAAGTTAATGATTTCAAATCTTAATTTATATTAAATCAAACTATTCCCATCATGTGCTGAAAGAATTACCTTGCTTTAAAAATTGGAGAAACAGAAAATATAGCCACTCGATAACCACTGCATCACTAACCTTTATAGTATATGACCTATTGTGCCATTTAGGGTCATGATCCCTTTATTCATTCTTAGATAATATATCCATTGCTCCCATATCTAGAAGGATCTATTTAGAGGCAAATGCTATTCAAGTACTGTTCTACAGAAATAGAAAAACACAATGTCATGGTGTTTGGAAGTGAACTGATGATGCATTGCACTAGCATATAGAGACATCGTTCCCATAAAACTTGTAACATTATAGTTCAGGGACTATTTAACCTTTAATACAAATCATTTTTATTGTCCCAATAGAACTCGAAACACTTTATTCTTTATATTTCTCTTTGGCACTGTGTACCAACTACATTATTATTTTGTCAGGGTGCAAAGAAAAGTCATGTTAAGTCTAATCCATGTGCAAACACTTCTGAAGAGCTATGCAGGAATGTACACATCTCCATCAAATATAGAACATGAAGACTCAAAATTTGTCACTGATGACAGAATATTTACGAAATAAAATGATCTTCTAGACTCTCCTTTATTTTCAGAATTACATAGTTTTCTGCTTTCTCTTTACATGCTATCAGTGATATGCTTTCAAATAATTCTAATAATTCTGCAAGATTGAATAGGGAAAATGCCAGAATAAAACTTACTGCTGCCAATGTGTTTATTTTTCATACTGTCTATTTGTTAGTATTTACTTCTAGGTTTATCTGGCATAACTCATCAGAAAAAACATAAAGTCAATTTATTTCTAACTTTAAAAAGTATTTTTTGGTAGGGACTTAAGTTCATTTACATTAAAATATATCTTCTGAGGAAATTGGTTCTTCATCTTTTGCTAGTTTGTTTTGTCTTGCTATCATGTTCCTTATTCTTTTCTTTTTACAGTTTGCCAAAGACAAAATTATCAAGGGACATAGTACAGGGAAAAGGGGAAACAAAAGAAATACAATATAACTAAATTAAGTGCTTTAAATTCCAGCGAGAAAATAAAAATGATTTGTGTTAAAGGTTAAATAGTCCCTAAACCATAATGTTACAAGTGTTATAGGAATGATGTTTCTATACTCTTGTGCAATGCATCATCAATCTACCACCAAATACCACTGACATTGTATTTTTTTTTTAATCTCTTAAGAACAACATTTTGGTGCCACTTACCTCAGAGACAGTTCTTTTGGAAATTATAAATATATTTCTTTCTGGGATCAAAAGAATCCACATCAAAATGAAAGATGAAGTGTTGAATCTGAATTCACAGCTGTTTTATGCAATCTAGAAAGAGTACGGGATTTCTCATTTTAGTTCACTTCTCAAAGCTTTGTAGATAGAAGCCTGAAATGATATATTTGAATTTTTAAAAATATTCTTCTTGTCTGGCTGTGTAAATGATTGCAATCAATCAGATTTTCTTTGTTCAAGAAAAAAACATGAAATTACAATATGAATATTTTTCACATGTAATTTTAGTTATACAGTGGGCAATGACTGACAGCTTAACAACGTCCCACTGTGGCAAGAATAATGCGTTATTTTCGGAAAAATATTTTTACTTAAGAAAAGTTAAAAAAGTCTCCTTGGAAAATAGTTTTGAAGGTCACAAACGTATATTTGGAGTATATTATTTTACAATTTCATAAACTAATTTTTAAAAATGTATTAAGATCTTATCTGTTACAAAAACAAAAATCTGCAGCAAAAACAAAATGATATAGTTCGTGGCTGTTTATAATACACAGACATTTCAGAGAAGTATCATTGCCTATTTCAAAAGTGTTACAGTAATTACAAAACCAATTTTAAATGCTGGAAAAATAATTATATTAAAAAAATAAATTCCAATGGCAGAATAGATTATTATAATCAAACGGATCCTTTTTCTGCCATTTTGAAAGAAAAGCTATGTTCTTAAACTGGACGTTTTATAGTTACACTGTTTCTATAAATCAAAAACTATATTGTGATTTTGCTTGAAGATTCCAAAATGAGTTCAATTTTCAACTGTAAATGTACAATATTTGCTAGAATTTCCCCCTTTAAGTTGGAGATTTCACTGTAAAACTTTATCCATAAAAATTTAGTATAAATATTATTGTAATCAAATATTATACAGAGTTTGAGAGTGATGTCCACAAAATGGTAAAACAGAAGGTCTCCTGGCATCACTCCTTTCAAAAGAGTACAACAGGAAACTATTCAAACCCAAAATCAAGGAAGTAGTGGAGAAATTCCTGGGTCCCTGCGGAGTTTAGACTTTATCTTACATCCAATGGGAAGCTATTTACAGGTTTTAAGCAAATGATTATGTCTGTGTTTTAAAGGTATTATAGTCTAGAGGCTTCATGGAATTACATGATTTATAATTTATAAATTTATCATACATAACTGATTAAAAGCAAGCTTAGAAGCATAAACTCAAGTTGGAAAAGATGGGTTTGACGTAAAAGCTTAAACGTGTTTCATTTGTTTGCTTGTTTGTTTCTAACACAAGTTTAACCTATATGTGAGTCACCTTTGGATTGGTGAGTCTAGAGTTTGATGCAGACAATCTGGGCACAGACATTTAGAGAAGGTCAGTCCACAAATGATGTTTAATGATCCCTGGGTGATGATCACTTTCTCTCCAAGGAGAAACTGCATGGAAAGAAAGGTCCACATACACTCTGCAAAACTTAAAAATGGTCACATAAGAGGAGCAAGACTAAGGCTCACATTTTCTCTATCTTGAAAGGGACAGAAATAGCCATATACATAGGAATAAACCATGTTTCTTATAATTATTTAAGGAGTCCAAGGATAGAAATGATTTGCCAGGTAACCATTTAGTGCTTGCTGCATTTATAATGTGTGAATTTGACAGAGAAGCCTGAGATGTAGGGGAAAACCTGGAGAGTGAGAAGGTTCTCAAGAAGTAGTGGTTGACTTGGTCAATGCTGAAAGATCAAGAAAGTGAGAACTCCAATTGGTCATTTGGATTTGGCTACGTAGTCACTAGTGACTTCTGTAAAGAGCAGTTTCAGTGGAGCGTGGGGACAGGAGACCTACTGAAAATGCATCAGAGAGTGAAGAGGAGGTAGGGGAAGGGAAATAGCCTGTGTGGGAACAAACAAAACAAACAAAAATGTTTTCAACAACCCTCCTTGTTTGATCCTTCACCCTTGCGAACGTCTTACCTCAGATCACTGCGCTCATACAAAATGTAAATCAAAGGCAATTATGAATGACTCAAAGCCAGAAGTTCTAGCAAACACATTATTTAGGTGGCAGGATCGTGATGTAAAATGATCCCCACAGGTTGGAAAGATACAAATATAGGTTAGCATTTTTTTTCATGTCAGTTTTCCAAATTCACCAATGACACTCCCTGCTATTATTTTTGATATTTCAAGGATTCTACATAAAAATATTCAAAAATCCACCTTCATAATTCTTGGTCTTCTGAACTCTGATAATTTATCTTTATTCCAGTTAACATACTTTCATAGCATCAACAATAGTAATAATGGTTGCCAGTTCTAGATTTCTACCATTTGCCAACAATAACCCAATTAGTTTACTAATTTAATCCTCATGGCATAAATTGAGGTTTAGATCATTTGTGCAGATAAGGAAATTGGCATTCACAAAATTAATTAAATTGCTGAAGCAATTTATTTGTTTTTACATCAAATTAAATTATTTAATTGTTTTTACCTAGAATGTTTCACCTCTAAAACCCACAAATTCTTAAATTTGGATCAATTCTCAATACCGCTTCTTCATATGCCAGGCTGCTGAGTACAACAGAGAAAATCACACAGCTGGCTAGACGAATATCTAATTTATCCTATGTATTCATACTACAAAGCACTATCAGAAATTTCATCTGGGTTCTTTCTTTTTTTTTGGTCACTTTCTCATTTCTGCTCTGCCATGACTCAAACACTTCTCTGTTCAAACATCTTACCCAATATCCATTATAATCTTCATTGTCAACAACTTCGTATCCTATTTTACAGAGATATTTGAGACCAGCAGATTTAAACTTGCTTTAATATCTATCTTTATCTTTATAAACAAATGTATTATTTTCCCACATTCATTTTTCTCTCCTTTGTTCCAGGCTGAAAGAGAAAATTGCCCCATTCAGAATTTAAGGTTATTCTTTCTGTGATTTCCATCTGAAATACACTTCTTTAGATCCATTCTTCACTGAGAAACTACAATTTGTGCTTCAAAGCCCTGCTTACATTTTCCTTTTGTGAAATATTCTCTGACACAGGAATTTTCGGCGCGTTCCCCAAACACAGTAATTTTTCTATAATGCTAAGGCTGTACCTGTACGCACATTCATCGTACTTATCACTGCATGGTTCATGAGGTGGGAGGCAAACATGGTTGCATATTAAGAAAAAAAAGTTTCCCAACCCCTTTTGCCACATACTGTGATTCCATAGGATTGAGACAGGACTTAGAAATTGATGATTCATAAATATTGCTATGTGATGATAATGATCACCCTGGGTTGGAAACCACTGAATAGTGGAAGGAACATAGGTCTCAGGTCTGAGGGAAACAGCTTTAATTTCAGCTCCGAAACGTAATAGAAGAATGGTTTTCCACAAACTTCTCAAATATCTGACTCCCAGCAATAAATCTTGTCCTGTTTTCCAACTATGTTGGGATTTCTACCACGTCTGTCTTCCCATTTCTATCAGTAGCCCCAGTCATCATCATCTCTCTCACCTGGCCTATTGCAACCCCCTGGCTGATCTGATTCACACTTGCTTCCTCTATTATATTTTCTCCATCTAGAACTGAGAGACTCTTTTATGGAAGAGTTATAGAATGCCACTTCTCTCCTTAAAAATCTTCCGGGAACTTCCTCCGACATGCAGAGTATAATCCAAATTCTTCACAATAGCCTATATGACTGCATAACTTGCTGTTACAAATTTCCCTTATCCTATTCCTGTTACTCCTTTGAATTCTCCTACTTCCTTTTCAATTGTTTATTTCAACGCAGCCATGCTGGACTCCTTAATGTTCCTTGCTACACTAGACAAGCTCAGGCCTCAGAGTCCTTGGATTTAATACTGTTTCTGTGTAGACTGTTTCCCTGCAGATATTCATACGGCTCTCTTCTTCCCTTTATTCAGATTTCTTATCAAAATCATCTCCCCTAAGAAGTCCTCCTGGCAAAAGAGTATGCACACATTATACTCACTCTTACTCATCACCATAAATCACTTACTCATTTTTTTAAAAATTTGTTTTTGTCAATTTCCCTGACAAGACAGGAAAACATGATGTAAATTGAAGAGGCCAGGGAATTCTGGACAAGGAGTGCATGAATGGTTCTCGTTGCTGGATGAGGAAACACTGGGGAAAGATAGCAAGTGATTATATTCCATCCTGACCAACAGAGTCACTCGCGGTGGTGCTGAGACCTTAGCAGCCAAAAGCCCAGAAATAGGATCTGATTTCTTAGTGCCTGTGGAAGGCATCAAACCAGGAAAAGTGATGCAACCTTCTCAGTAAGGAGACTGCAATATTTGTACTTCCCTGATTTTATTTGCAAAATGTTCAGTCACAGTTTTCCTTCTGTGAGAACAACTCTTACTGGGACTAATACAAACAAAACTTTTTTTTTTTGTCCTTTTTTTTTTTTTTTTTTTTTTTTTTTTTAGATGGAGTCTCGCTCTTTCCCCCATGGTTCTTGGCTCACTGTAACCTCTACCTCTGGGGTTCAAGCAATTCTCGTGCCTCAGCCTCCCGCGTAGCTGGGATTACAAGTGCCTGCCACCACACCTGGCTAATTTAAAACTTTTTTCTATATTTAATTTTTTTTCTGTATAGTCTGGTTTCTATATTAACAAGCACTGTAATTAGATGCAGCAAAATTTGTTTACTGTGATCTGGCCATAGTTAACTGGTGGTATTATGGTGAAAAGCTGTATCATATTTTTCCAATTCCATTTCTAGTCTCTAAAACCATTTCTTTCTCACACAGTGTGTATTCAAGACAGAAGTTAAGTGTTTTTGAGTCTGGTTCTAGTAAGCCTAAAATAACATACCAATTATTTTGATTAAAGAAAAAGGCCATGGGTCATTTTCCTCATTAGATTATGTCAGTTATGGTATTGCTGAACATCTATTATATTTTCTCCCAAAAAAAAAATGGACTCTCTCTCGTTTTATCTTAGTGTTGAATAGAAAAAGTGCGGTCTAGAAGCTGTTATTAGTTTTCCTTTGTAAAATGTCTCTCAGTTAATTAGAATTGTATCCGTTTATAAATATTTCATTGCAAATTTATTAAATAAGCTTTAAGTCTTGTCACAGAGGTGAATGGTGATTGTCTAATTTAAGCCTGAATTTTTGTCTGTAACACTGCCTTTGTCTGGTGACACAATTTTGTACGAGCTTAATGAAAGTGAGTTTAGCTTATTCTTTTGTCCTTTTGTTGCATTGCCATGACAATGTTTCATACAGAACTATATTGTCTTTTACTTCACCCTTTACCACTTTATTATCTGTTCTACCTTTAAATGACTTCTCTATTAATTTACACAGTAATCCATTGTGTGTTGGTGTATGCCACCAAAAAACAAAAGCATCTAAAAATATGATTACTGCATATTCATTGGTCATTCATTTACTTTCCATGTGGAATATTTAGGTGAAGTTCGTAAGAACTGGAAGACTTATCAGCTGTTTCAAAACAAGTATATAATAAGTGTGCCAAGAGACATTACCTCATAGAAATAAACCGTGAATGTTTGATGTCCCCTCCAGTTTACTCCTGTACTTTAGTACACATCATAATGCACGTTTTTCAAGTTTTTTAATTAAAGTGACTGAGCATTTTTCTGTCATTTCAAAATACTATATTCAGCATAGTGATTATAGGGAAATCATTTGGAGAAGGCAAATGACTCTGAATTCTTTCTAGTACTGGCTAAAACGGACTTTAATAAGACCTTATCAAAGTCAGTTTAACTCAAAGGGTCTCAGTAAATTATTATTTTCTTTTTCTTTCTTTCTCCAGGGTCAAGCTGGAGTGCATGGCACAATCCTGGCTCACTGCAACCTCTGCCTCCTGGGCTCTGCATCCTTCCACCTCAGCCTCCCAAGTAATTGGGACTACAGGTATAAGCCACCACGCCTGGCTATTTTTTGTCTTTTTAGTAGAAAAAGTGTTTTTCCATATTGCCCACGGCATTCTCAAACTCCTGAGCTCAAGCAATCCACCCACCTTGGCTTCCCAAAGTGCTGGGATTACAGGTGTGAGCCGCCACACCTGGCCAGTATTCATTTTTTATGGGGGAGTGAGGGGTCAGTTTTCTGACCCATGAAAGCAGATATTGAGAGTTTGAACATTTTTAATTTAAAATAAAGTTTTATATAAGATCACTTTTTGTTAATAACTTAATTGTTCCTTGGATGCTGTAGATTAAAATTTTAAAGACCATCAAGATACAACTTTATATACACCACGTGCCTTATTAGGTGATTTGGTCAACGACAGCCCACCTATACAACAATGATCCCATAAGATTGTAATACTATATGTTTTCTGTACCTTTTCTATGTTTAGTTACATAAGTATTTACCACTGTGTTACAATTGCCTACAGGATTCAGTAGAGTTCATGCTGCATAGGCTTGTAGACTAGAAGCAATAAGCTCTACCCTATAGCCTAGGTGTGTAGTAGTCTATACCATCTAGGTTTGTGTAAGTACATTCTATGATGCTTCCACATTGACAAAATCGCCTAACAATGCATTTTTCAGAATATATCTCCATTATGGAGAGACATGTCTGTCCTGCCTTTTGTTTGTACCACTGTGTTCTTATTCAAAGAAAAATATACACATTACACACAACTTTAAACTCTTCTTCACACTCACGTTAGCAATTAAGAATGCAGGAATGTACAGTACATGCACTAACTGTGCCTTGACCATTTCCTGACCTGATACATGACTTAATATCTTAATATATTTGATCTCACTTGAGGAAATCGAGTTTGGAAAAGAAAATGTGCACTTAATGTAAATAAAATTATATTAAATGTTTCTTCCTAGTTTAAAATAATTTTTCAATAAACCAGGATCCCTTAAAATTTTCTCATTAAACATTGAGCTATTTTTCTTTTATTAGAAATTACCTATAAAAATAGTGGCTGTCTCTCTTGATTAAAAATGGATTGGTATAATGACATACTATTAGATCTATACCCTTTCTATTGTTTTTTTCTTCTAATTTATAGAATAATCATGACTATGATATCACGAACAAAAATGTCCTCAAGAACAGGTACCTAATTGGGAGAAAACTTGACACTTCCCATTTCCATTTTAGGAGTTAAAAAAATCTACACGTTCAGTTATTTTTATAGTTAAAAAGTTTAATTTTGTTTAAAATACCACAAAGTATAAAACATGATCTGAATGTTGTTAAAATGTCATGCAAATTAGAACCATGCTTATTCAATTTGAATCAAGGTATATTTAAGTCATTTTTTTCATAAAATTATTGGGATTATTAATATTTAGTAACCTAAATCATTTTTATAAAGTGATAATAAAACAGATTGTCCTAAGAGATTGATTTTGTTATGACTGCATCTAAAGAAACTAAAATGCATTGTGGCAGGAAGGACTGGTGTCATTTATAGTGACGTTCAAGTAATCTGGGGGTGATAGATGCTTGACTCTGCTAAATTTATGCTAGGATTAGCACCATTTATCTGCTTTTAGTGTGTTAAATACTCAATGAAATATGTGTTTATGAAAGTAATTCTGTGTTTTTCAAATTTCATGACACTTTTAATAAAACTGTTAAATTAACAGCTTTATGGGGTTATAACTGATATACAAAGAACTACACATATTCAATATGTAAAATTTGATGAGTTTGAACATACACAAACACCCATCATATCATCACCACAATCAAGGTAATCAACGTATCCAGCACATTTTAATAGTACGATAAAGACTACTCCGCCTTTTAAGAGTCCTGGTAGTCTCAGTGAAACAAAATCTCTTGATTTTCAACATTCCTCTAATGTATCAGTTCTTTCCAACTGGGATTTACCAAGCAATGTCATTTTGTGTTGAATTACCATGAGTTTTTAAAAGATGCTAAATGAAGTAAAGTATGTTAGAATTTGATTGCCAATCAAGACTTTGATATGCGATGTGAATTTTTAGACCAGTGGTTCTAAGGTTGGTGAGGGAGAGGGGCAGTTGTACTGTGTGGGAGACACTTGGCAATGTCTGGCAATATTTTAGTTGTCACAATTGCAGGCTGCTGCCAGAATCTAGTATATAAAGGCCAGGGATGCTGCTACATGCCCTACAAGGCACAGGGCAGTCTTGTAGTATCTGGCTCACAATGTCAACAGTGCTGAGGTACAGAAACACTGATTTAGATTAATCATTGTGCTCAAAAGTGAAGAGTGAGCAAAATGTGTTGTTTGCCTTGCGAATTTTGGAGGAAAAAAAAACAAAGCTCCATCCAACCATTCTACATTTCTGACATCTGTGTTACATATGATTGGAGATTCTCTTTCTTCTAAATACCCATTGTGTGCTTCAATGACTGCTGGGATAAGAGCCACTTGTTCCTACAGTAATTGTCACAGGATAGCTGCCAGATGGTAATACTGAGAAGGACAACATGAAAAAAATTCTGTTTTTTTTTTTTCTTGTTTCATTCTATCTTCATAGGCTATATAAGTTGGTCTAATGTCTGAAATTTGTTCTACCTTACTTTAACCAGAAGACATAATTCCTTCATGCAAATGGCACCTAAATGGTGAGCAGACATGTCATGTGAAATTCCTTTAATATATCTGCTCATTATTGGTCCCTATGGACCATTTAACATTATTCAAAGAGGAAAGATTTTTCTTTTTCTTTTTCTTTTTTTTTTTTTGCCACTAAAAGAAAATCTGGGTAGGCCTATGACTCTTCTGTTCACTCTTGGAGAGTGCTGTGATAACTGCTTGGAGAGTGCTGTGTCATAAATACTATTATAATGCCCTGACTTTATGATATGTATAGCTATGCATTTGATTTAAATCTTTACTGTGACATGTAAGACTGGCTTCAGGCAGGCTGTTGCCTGTGAATAGGCATGACCAGCTTGTTCTCTCTTTTCCTTTTGACTTTTTGCAAAGCCTCTCAAATTGAAATACAGAAAGGGGCATAGTCAGAGGGTAGACTTTTACATAGAGGTGCTGCTCTAGAATGAATCTGCGTTCACTACTTCTGGCAGGATTTTAGCATGGACTTTTACTAGTTACTAGCTTATTTTAAGGTTTCGTGGTGTCACTGAGGCGCCTCTGCTTGGACTCTCTGCTATGATGTGGGCTACAGTCACCCTTCCCCTGAATACTACTCCCTGTATGCGTCTGATTTTTCAGGGGTCCCATTCATGGAAAACTCTTTGAGTCTCACTGTATACACACATGATACTCTTGAGCAGGACTCACACTGACTACAGGCTGACACTTCCCTGAATGACAAATTATCTGATCTATAAGAAACATTTACCTATCATTTATCTTGACAGATTCTAGCAGTAAATTTCCTACCAAGGATTTTGGCACAATTTCTTTCTTCTTGATGGCTTACCTTCAAACTCCATGAATCACAGATCAAGGTGACCTTTGTGAGTCACCTTTCTCTAGGCTTAAGCAGGTAGCCTCTTTCCGGTCATCCACATTTGGAGAGAATGTCGGAACTCAGCACACACAGCAACAACACTCTCCAAGGTAATCTCTCAGTCTCCATTCTCTCAAACTGATATGCCCAGCTACGTTGAAAACCTGAACCTTTGTAGGCTCAGAACTTACTTGGATAACTGACATTCATTGTCAACTGGGGCCTGAGTCTAAATATCTAAGATACCATTTGTGATTACTAAAAGAATTCACATCACAATTTGCTCATAAATCAAAATTTCATATTTGGAAAGATGATAGAATGAAATCATATTGATACCATTGTTCTCATGCCTCGTTCTAATGATTAAAAACTGTAAACAACATATGTGCATAAAATACTCTGGAAATTACAAATGCACATATATATGTCTATATACATATATGTTTATACACATATTACATGTATATGTATATGTACACATATTACACATATATGTGTATATTACACATATACATATGTATATGTATATATATGCATGTGTGCACAAAATACACATATATGTGCATAAAAGATATATGTATATATGTGTATACATATGTGTGTGTGCATATATATATATATATATATATTGCTTTTCTTTGTTAAATCTTTTACAATAGTGCAATTTTCAATTTTGGTGTGAAGTCTTAAGTAACTGATGTTAAGACAGAAATCTAAGAAAGTTATTTTAAACAGTAATATTTTGGCAATGCAAAGCTATCTAGTAATATTGCTCAGACAATACAAAGCTAGTTCTATTCATATTTGTCCTGCTGATCTGGAAGATAAAACTGATCTCTCCCTGCAAGGGCTGCACTAACTGGAATGAGACATTGTGTTTGTTGGACCTATGATCTTCTTTACAGAGAAGAGCAATTCATAAAGTTAGAAAAGGGCACCATGTAAAATCCAATGCACATTTTGTAGAAATAGCATGAGGATTGCTGAGAGGGGTGAGAAAGACTAAATAATAGCAACAACCAAACCAAAAACAACAAGAAAAAAATCCCTAGTCTCCATTGTTTATTCTTGAGAATATGACCTAGAAAAAATATGCCTAAGAAAATGTATCGTAAGGGAGAATGTTATTTGTGTATTTTTTCCAAAGGGACATGTTCTTAATTTTTTTTTTTGCACTGTATTTATGTATTGTTAATATCTTTTTATAACTTGAATATATTTTAATTCTACAGCTCTGGATCAAGGCATGCAAATATGCTATTTTGATCTTGTATTTTAGTTTTGTTTTTTTCTAAATTCCATGTAGCACACATGATTATTATGAGAAAATGTTTTAGATTTACCTGTATGTTAAACAATTTTATTTTTGTTAACTCTTCTTCCATCTCAGCTTCTTTATAAGATTATTTTCCTTTTTCCTGAAGTATGCCTTTGTAGGTTCCTTCACTGAAATTGTTTTGCCATGTTGATGGATCAGTTTTTATTTTTCTGAAAGTGCATTTATTTCTCCTTTAGTCTTGAATACTTGCTTTGCTGGATGAAAAAACTTACTTGATCCTGATTCGCAGGCATAAGGGGCTTAATTTAGAGAGCTTTTCTTGTGGAGGAAATGTGTCTCCTGCTTCACCCGAGGACCATGAATTCCTAACAACGCGGTACCACTTTGTCTTCCTTTGAGAGGCCTGGTTAGTGTGAGAACCTCAGAGTCGGCTCTCCACCAAGGATATAAACAACGTTATTAGTGGCGTCTTCCATTTCAGGAAGATAATTACAATCGTTTTTACAAGGAGTATTTCACAAAGGAGTATATTTAAATTTTATTTGATCTGGGATAGAAGGGTATACCTAAAGGTGTTCATGGTATATTGTGAAACATTTTCTAAATTGTAATTTAAAAATAATAATGTTAACATACTAAAAATAAATCTAATAATCGTAGTAAAGTTTTTAAAGGTTGTCAAAACCTTTTTCCCCTGCCTTCTTTGTACAAGGCTCAGGTGGTAGACTTGTTAAGTAGTGAAATGAGATATTCAAGGGTAATGCCTAAAGCACAGTGGATTAATGACTATTATAACAGATAATACTCTTTAGATTGTTGTATGATCATACATGGGATGACTAGGTTCATGTTAATAATGCACAATGGTCTTCAGTGGGGGAAGCAAGGGTGAAATTGAGATTTAACACAGAAATTACAGATTTAGTAATTAACATCACTTTACTACTCAAAAATTAATTTTCAGATCACAAACTTTTTATCTATTTTGTTCCAATTTTAATTATTGCCTCCAGATTTCTTATGTAAATAAATTCTTATAGATGGTTAGATAATGTACCTCTCATTATTATTGTTTGTCTTAAAATGGAATCAATTTACAGCTAGAATGACATCATTACCACACTGGATCTTATAGAAGGATCCGCCAGACCTCAGTAGTTGTTCAGAGTTTCAGGGTCTGTCAGTCAGGATGCAGGGTCTAGACAGCCCTCTACCATGTGGATGTAGCAAATTCTGTAACCACTTCTTGCTCAGATTACATGATACTCAAAACTCATCAAGCCAAACTTGAGAGGAAGTGGCTCTTCTGGCAAGATTTCTAGTGATCCCAGAATCTTTGTGAAGAGAAACGCATATTTGTTTACAAAGCTATTATAATATGTATAAAACACTAAGATTTAATTTTATATTAATATTTGTAAGTATATTTTTGTTCTGGCATTTGATTTAAAAATATAATTCCAGAAAGTAAATCTTATCAATAATACATAACAATAGTCATATAAACTTTTATTTTTTTTTTTTGAGACGGAGTCTCACTCTGTTGCCCAGGCTGGAGTGCAGTGGCCGGATCTCAGTTCACTACAAGTTCTGATTCCTGGGTTCACGCCATTCTCCTGACTCAGCCTCCCGAGTAGCTGGGATTATAGGCGCCCGCCACCATGCCCAGCTAATTTTTTCACCATGTTAGCCAGCATGGTCTCGATCTCCTGACCTAGTGGTCTACCCGCCTTGGCCTCCCAAAGTGCTGGGATTACAGACGTGAGCCACCGCACCCGGCCTAAACGTTTTTAAAAAAATTTAATTCTACTCTTTATGGCTGTTGGTCAGAATTGTTAAAATATAAATGTAATAAAAGCCCTAGTACCATCTTATGTCTTATAAAGAAAAATTACTTTTAGCTTTTATAGTGAAGCCCACCAAAATGATTCAGTTTGCCAGTATTTTTCAAAAACAATGTTAACCTATATGGCTCATAAAAAAAGTAAACTAACAAAATTTCTTTCTTAAAATCTTGGTAACTTCATGGATACATAGTAAGGTAGGTAGGCATTGAGTCTCCAACTTAACCAATTATTTGAAACTTTCCAAAATAGTTTTTTATTTTGCTTTGAGAGATGTGCAAGTTCACCAACATAGAGAAATTCTTCAGTTTTCAATCATTTTAGTCCTTTGTAATAGTACATGGGCATAAATCAGAGCACTTGTATAATAATAGCCTACAGTAAAGAATAGATGTTTCAGCCAGGCATGGTGGCTCACACCTGTAATCCCAGCACTTTGGAGGCTGAGGTGGGCGGATCACCTGAGATAAGGAGTTCAAGATTGGCCTGGCCAACATGTTGAAACCCTGTCTCTACTAAAAATACAAAAATTACCCAGGCGTGATGGTGTGTGCCTGTACTCCCAGCTACTTGGGAGGCTGAGGCAGGAGAATTGCTTGAACTCAGGTGGCGGAGGTTGCAGTGAACCGAGATCGCGCCATTGCACTCCAGCCTGGGCAAAAGAGTGAGACTCCATAAAAAAAAAAAAAAAAAAAAAAAAATGTTGCAAAGTGTTTTAAAGAATTATTTACAATGCATAATCTGGCTTCTTACATTAATTTTCTTATTTTTAAATCTAGCCCTTTGAAATTCATCAACTGTCATGTATTATTTTCAGATGAAAATAATCAGTGATTATTGAAAATGGAATTTAAAGTTCTGTGAATTAGATGGGAAACAAAAACTTGCCTTCAGTTTTTACAGATTCCACCAGACTGTGAAATCTGTGATGTCATAGACTTTCTCTATTTTGTTTGCTGCTGTCTCTCTAGCACCTACAAGAGTGACCCACACAGTGAACACTCCGTTGCTGCTTACTGAATAAACAAAGAATCTCACATGTGGCCACTGCTCACTTATTCAGCTCAAAACCATGACTCTTTGTGTCACATTATTTTATCACTTCCCTTATTCTAACACCTAGCTTTTATAATATGCTTTTCCTAGCATTATAGTTACATTTACACAGATGATTTTATTTTAAAAATGCAAACCATTCTTTACAAATGCCACTCGAAGCCAATAAAGAATTAATTCCTTTAAGATATATACTTGCACATATTGAGATTTTCAAGCAGAGTCAGACTTTAAAGCCACCAAATGAAAGCGCTCTTATGTGTGTCTTATCACAGAGGCTGAGTACCAGGATTTTACTTTTAAAATTTTTATGTTGTCTCTCTCCCCTGCTCTTCTAAATAGAAGGGAAAAAAACAGTATGTTGGCTATACAGTCTTTATGTTACATTTTCCCAGAGAAATGTTTAGCAATTATAAATAGAAAGAATAAGAACCCAAAAGCATGACCTGAGTCATCCCTTGCTTGTATTTTTGTGGGAAAGTTGAGTCTCATCCTTTTCAGTTCTGTTGCTAGCCTGGGAAGCTGAAACCACAGTCCCTTCCAAACGATAACCATAATTTTCTCCCTTCTACTTTATTTTCTTATATTTTTCATCTTATAATGAGCAGTTACAAAAACTTTTGGGTCCAAATGTTTTACCAAGTCAGTTAACTTACTTCCTAACCTTTTTGAATAGCCCATTTGAAGTCCGTTAACACTGTGACTCTAAAAAGACTAAATATAAAGTTTTACTAAGATAAGTCATCATGTTGAATAAATACACAAATATGACCTTTGGTATGGATGTGCACGTAAGCAGTGGGGTAAATGCCTCCTTGTATTTAAAAGTAAAGAATTCTGTACTGCAAGTAGAAATCTACCTGCAAAAACACACACAGTCTGGCCGTAGCTACAGGTAGCATGCATGTTCCTTTTTCATGCGAGTCAGAAAACCAATTTTATTATGCTCTGTGTTAATCATCAAGGTAGTGAGGGCAAACCTATTGGGATATTGTGCATTCCTTGCAGAGAAAGCAAAACAAGCAGTTGAATTTTCTTTTGTTAGGAGGGAAAACAATGCGGTCATCTAGAATGACACATTGTCATCACTGGGGCACGGGAGAGGGGTTGAGCAAGTCAATGGATGTTTTCTAGAGCCTAGAGAATATGTGTGATACTCTGAAGTATATTTTTTTCTAAATCCCAGGTGAGTATGCAATGCTAATGTGAGGTAGAGATAATTATTATTGTCATAAGCATTATTACTTAACATGCTTTTCCTCTTATATGCTACACATTATGATATATGCTTTAAAATATTGGTTTGATTCTCACAACAAGCCTGTGGGTTTGGTATTGCTGCCAATAGTTAACATATTTGAAAAAGCTGGAAGAGATATAACTCGTTTCCATGGAATCAATCAACCATTGATATATAAAAGGAGACTAGTTCTTTTAAACAAAGGGAAAGTGTGACTAAATAAAACTTTAAATGAAAACAAGTGCAAAAACGCTATCGGGATTGGAGATACATTTTTAAAAATTTGCTATGTATTTACAATTAAAAAATATATTAATGAAGTATTTTGAATAGAGTTTCCTGAGTCTAATAAGGTTTTTCAGGGCATGAGTGACTAAAATACAAACAAACAGGCTTCCAAACATATTCTCCTTCACTGTTTCATCAATGCCATACATACTTATTAATGGTTTAGAAAAACACACCCTGCTATGGTTTATTGCCAAATAGCAAAGATATAAATTACATCTCCAACACTGACATGCCACTACGTTATTAACAGGGCCACGGAGGCCATTGAAACTACACTGTATGCACATCTACAGTAAAGGGCATATTGAATGGTAAGCTTTAGTATTTCAGTGTATTTAATTTGGCACACTTGGTGCTGTTCTTTGTGAATGTTAATCTTTTCAACCAATACAGCAGCATGTCAGTATCTTCATTTGCACGGTATAATAGGCTTATATCCTGAAACAATAAACTTATAATAGCTTGTCTGTTGCTTGGTGGAGATATGCACATTCAGCATGAACAAGGTGTTGCATGCTCTATTTTTGCTCAAGGTTCTTTATACATGCCCTTCCTTTCCTGTCAGGAACAAAAGCCACATTTATAAGTTTTTGCTATAATACCAACTGCATAGTTTGGAAATTTTCCAGTGTAGTACAATTCACTTTCTTTTTCCATTATTGATAAAATTATAACTAGGTACATCTATATTTGAAATGTGAAGTGAGCATGAGACTTATTTTTAATGTTACATTGAGACTGATTTCTTTTTTTAGGACAGAAGTAAGATTTGGAAAAGGTGCATGCTTGTAGTATAAAACAGAAATAAATGTACATAAAGGATCTTAATACAGATTACTTCTTTTTACCAATGGTAATATTCAACTTGGTATTCATCAGTGGGTAGGTTTGAATCCATTCTATTTAACTACTTTCTTTTCTGACTAATTTCATTTCTGCAATACAGTAGATATATTATTAGGAACCAAAAAATGAAACAAAACACTTATAGGTCATTTAATAAAATATTTCTCTTCCAAATATTCTAAAATGGTATTAACACATATTCTATTTAGAACTCTTACTTCCTGTTATTATCTGTTATATTAAAACAATTGAGGTATAAATTTCTAGATAAAAGGGCGTTACTCTAAAATCCCTTTCAAAAGATTGCAGCCTCAGTTGTATACTTCTATTGAATGACCCCAGTGATTGTGCTGCTTCATTGCATTTTACTTCTAACATTTCTGTCCTATGCACAAGATTGAAAAAGATTAAATTTGATTTGTGGCAGTCACTACTTGTTATCTTCAAATAAGTATTTGCAGATTAAACAAAGCATGATTCTAGAAGTAAAAATTATTGAACCTATTTTAGAAAGACTTTTGTAAAATTAACCCATTTTTTACCATCAAACCTATGTTGTAGGAAATAGAATGCCTGTCCCATGTATTTCCAAATGAAGCGTGACTTTAGAATGTGCTCCTCTTTATACAGGTCCAACTCATCACTTTAAAGCTTTTCAAATCAAGTGCACTGGCACCACATACTTAACTGAATTTCTCGAAGATTTTATGGTTATTATCTAAAATACTGTACTAGCCTATCTATTATTCTTTAAATTATTTTCTCAGATTGTATTTCAGTTTTAGTGATTAAGTTTCTGTTTTGCAAATTAATACAATCTTGGGGATTGCATATATTTTAAACACACATACAGATAACACACACACATTACATTATTAATCTAGAACACATTATTAAATCTAGAACTTACTGACCAGTGTAAGTTTTTCCTCTACCTTTGGGAACCTTGAGCATAATAGCTTTGTTCATTAGATTGTACTATTAACTACAGATGATTAAATGTTGCTTTAGAAATTGCTGTAATAAAGTGATTTAGGCTTACCAATTTAAGTCATACAAGCCTTATTAAAATAGTAGTAAAAGTCCATTTATCTCTTAAACAACTTTAAGGACTTTTGAGAAAAACAATAATGTATTTAGTATACTCCCCTATAAAGGAGTTTCTGATTTTTTTTCTCAGCAGTCTAAAATCAGCATAGAGCATTCTGTATATTAATTTCAAGACAGATTTATGTTTCATATTAAATAGAAGATGACATATTTCAACTATTTTGTAGTGGAAAATAAGGCATGGAAATTTATCAGCCTGGGTATTCTATTGCGATCTTTTTTCTAAGTTGAAATGCTTCCAATGACATGCCCAAAAGAACAATTTTTACATGAATTATTCCATATATATGTATGCATGAATATGTGTGTACATATATATGTAATTTCTTTGGTAATTTTTTGGATTTTTAAAAATTTTATTTTTTACTTTTGTAGAAATAGGGTCTTTCTACGTTGTCCAGACTGACCTCAAATTCCTGGTCTCAAGCAGTCCTCCTACCTTGGCCTCCTAAAGTGCTGGGATTACAGGTGTGAGCCACTGCACCCAGGTAACTTTTGGTGCTTTTGCACACTCCTCTGCTTTCCAAGAGGGATTCATGATGGGCATGACACCTCCAAAAAATAGAGTGACTTGGGACAAAGATGGTAAACAATATTTGCTTGTGTTAAGGAGTTCTGCCTCTCTGAGGTGCAAGGGTTTTTATAAAACATATAAAAAAGGGAATAATTTTACTTTATAGGATTGATGTGTTAGATTTAAAATCTATGAAATGCCATTCACTATTCATGTCACATGGTAGATGCTCAATGAATGATAGCTTTCACTAATATTACTAATAAGAAAGTAGCTGTTAAATACAGAGATTTTATAGCCAAATTATTTCTCTATTACTTCTCAGTTATTTATCCTTTCCAAGTCAATTAACTTCTCAGAGCTGTAGGGTCCTCTTCTATAAAATAGAGATAAAACTTGCCTCTCAGTAATTAATAAATACAGCATAAAGTGCACAATAAAACTATGAAAAATGTTACTCCTAGTTTCTTGTCTCATAGAAGATGCAGTCTTTAGTTATTGAAGGTTAACCAAGTAATTAGTAGTGTTTTATGCAGAACCAGGTTAGAGGGGAGTCTGGAAAGACAACTAAGAAACAGGTAAACATTATAAAAGTTACCAGAAATATTACAAATGTTATTACTTCATGCTACTAATAATGCATTTTAGAACTGAAGGAGCTGCACGACTCAGCCAAAATGTAACAGGAGGAGGGAATGTGGAAAGAACGGGATTCTGAGAGTGCTTAGTCAAGATGGGTGGAGATTATGTCAGAAGTCAAGAAAGCTCCTGGTATGGAAGCACCCACCTGTTAGATACGAGTTCCATCCTACCATGCCTCTGGGATGGCTCTTAAAGCTGAGAGAGAGACAACTATGAGTGAGGGAGCAATGTTATTGTATGGCAGGGGGTTGAATAAAGGAGCTAGACTGTGGGCTGCAGTGGATGCTATGATATGTAGCGAAACCCCCGCTTAAGACTGAAGCACTCGTTCCCCAGCTGCTGGGAGTGTTGCTGGCTGATTATGTAAGCGAGGCCCGCCACCTTGGCATTGAAATCATCCTCCGAAGAATAGAGGGGCCTCATCAAGGTGTGTGGAAAGCAGCCTCTACCCAATGTCTGCTTGATGTGGGTGGTATCAAGATTTCTGCTCTTGTCTTCAAGGTGGGTGAGTTCTGAATGGACACTGGGGTCTGGCACTCCCTGTGGAGTCTGCCGAGGTCCTGGTTGTGACCGCATTGCAGTTCAACACCTTCTACCATTTCTACTTTATTCTACTCCCTGGCAGACTTTCTTCTTCCTTTTTGTAAGGTATACATAACATAAAGTTTACATTGTAACAATTTTTACATGTACAGTTTGGTGGCATTAAGTACACTTATACTATTATTTTTCAACCATCACCACAATCCATCCAGGTCTTTTTCATTATCCCAAATTGAAATTTGTAACCTTTAAACAATACCTACCCATTCTCCCTACCCTGAGCTCTGGAAACCACCATTTTACTTTGTGTCTTTATATATATAACCCCAAGCCAATTTCCATCTTTTAATATTCATATTTAATATTTAATGATCAACTAAAAGAAATCAAAATCAAATTATTGTATCAAATATATTTCAAAATAAAACATTTTACCTGGGAATACAAAAATATATATTTTTATGAAGAACCCACAGTTTAGTTAAGAGGTCATAGCATCACAAACATCCAAGAATCTCATTATCTCCCTCCTGTTTTTTTCTTAAACTTTTCTATTGATGCTCACTTGATGTCTCATAATTTTAAGCCAAATAATCTTTTTGCATCTTTCTTTTACTGTCTCTTCATTATTTTGTTGGTAACACTCTTATAATTCATTTTTCAAAATACGTTCTGATTCTTGCATGCATTTACAGTTACAATTATTTTGCACTCCCATTGATCTGTTTCTTGGCTCCTGTTACAGATTCCCAGGAACCAGTCCTGCTACTTTTATCTGACTGATTTCCTGCTTTTCATGACCAGGTATGAAGCACACTCTCTTCCAGTTGTACAGTTGGAAAGACTGAACTCAAAGTCTGAACCACCATGTTCGGAAATACTAACTGTGCAAACTCGAATCAGCTTTTTCCTTCCAACTATTATTTTAGGTTCAAGGGGTGTATGTGCCGGTTTGTTACATGGGTAAATTGCAAGTCACAGGGTTTTGGTGTACAGATAA